TGCTCTTTAGCGCCCTTCAAAATTTTTTCCTCTTTTTTTTCATTATTTTTTCATGCCAAATCCAGTGATTTTCGTGACCTCAAAACTTATCCCAAATTTTTATGTATTTTAGGCTAGAAAGATAAAATTTAAACAAAAGATGACGTTCTATAGGTAGTCCACCCAGGCCTTAATGTTGATTAAAAAATTCATTATTAAACATTCAAGCTATTTTCATAGATAAAATAAACGTTTAATTATTTTCTGGTTCGTCGAGCAGACATAGATATTTTCAGGCCTCGCTATGAAAAAAGCCGTGGAAAAACATTCTTTAAACTTCTTCCATTCAAACTGTAGATCTGTCTGTGTTAAAATACTAATTCATTACTGCCCTCGTACTAACAGCAATTATATTGTAAACAGAAAGTACTTTGGAGAATCCGGTGATGCTTGTGATGAACGCTCTCTTCTTCAAAGGGATCTGGCAGAATAATGAGTTTCCAGCGCAAGAAACTAGATCAGAAAAGTTCTACGAATCCTCAGGGAATATCATCGATGTTCCTTTCATGAAGGCAGTTGGGGAATTTAATTATGTAGAATCACCGGAGCTCGATGCCAAAATTCTAAAAATTCCATATCTGGTAAATTTACAGCGCCTAAAACTCATTTTAAATCTAAAAAAATTTGGTAAAATAATGAACGAAAAATCTGGAACACATAAATGACTTAAATCATTACTCGTTATCATTGTTCATTTCAATGTAATTAATTTTATGATGTCTTTTATCTTTCATTATGTTCATGAAATTGCTGACCTCCAAAAACAGAAATCATTAATATTTATACTTTTTTATAATTAGGGCCAAAAAATGGCAATGTACATTGTATTACCAAGGACTCAGGATGGTCTTGACACAGTAATTAAAAACATTAATTCCCATATTTTGATGAGACTCGTGAGGAGCATGCAAATATTCTCAGTGGAAATAAAACTTCCGAAATTCAATCTTGAGTACACAAGCCATATGGAACCCGTTTTACGTGAGGTAAGAATTTGTCTTTGAAATGTAACTCATAAATATAACTCATAAATCTTTATAATCGTGTATCTATTTTCCTGAATTTTTGAATCGATTTTGAATGACAGAATAATAATGAAACTTAAAAATGGAATATTTTGTACATCAATTTTATCAATCGTTTTTCCAAAATTTAGAAAAAAAAATTGAAAAATGATATTGCCAATAACACCTTAAGGACATCGAGTAATTAATTTTTTCTGGAGAGAATCGCTCTCAGGAATATAGGATAAGATACGATCTTTATGTTGAGCACAATTACAAACCGTTTCCGGACATTTTTATGAGAAAAAAATTCCTCAAAAACAAAATTTAACATGTAGTTGTCGTAAGAGCACTTTCATTCTCAATCTCGTCGTTGGAAACTTAAGGAATTTTTCCGTACATCTTACCACATACGATATTATTCGTTAAATTCTCTAGTTTTTCAATAATTAATTCTTAAATCGTTTACTTTGGTTATAAAATATAGACTTATCTACAGTAGACTAGCTGCTGCCGCCAGCATGTCTCGTACTCTCCCTGTGACAAACCCGAAAATTTAATACCGGTTTCACATTTTTCTCTTATGTTCTTATAGAAATTCCCCTAAAATAATTCTCACTGACGGATTTCGTGGAATATTCTGTAATTTCTCCTGAATATTCCTCTCCGTCTACCAAATTCACTATAAGATTTTCTATTAATTTTTTTAGTGTGGCTTTCTCTCAAAGTTAAACATTTTTTTGGACAGATGGGTATTAAGAGCATCTTCACGAATACCGCGACTTTGACGGGTATTGCTAAAGCTAAAAGGGGAGCGGCTCAAGTGCTGGTATCTGATATTGTGCAGAAAGCCGCAATTGAAGTTGATGAAGGAAGCAGTTATGTTGGTGCAGGTATGACTAAATTTATGAGTATAAAAACGGTAGATATCGTGTGTGAAATGAATTCAAATAAATTTCAATGAATTCATGATTTTTTTAGTGAAAATTCATTATGTCAATGATATAATGTACTTCCGGGCTATTGGGATGGAGTTTTCTACTCGCGGGGAGCCGAAGACGAGAACTGGCCAACCCCACGAGTTGAAAAAACCCCATCTCCAAAGCCCGGACAATATTTTTCCGTAATGATTTTCAAGTTTTCGAATTCGGGAAGTACATAGTAATTCCCACATGAGAAATCATGAAAATCGATTCGAATCGAATCGAATCGAATCGTTAATTGTCGGATTATAAAACTATCGTCTCGTGGTACAACCCTCCCACAAGTAAAAAAATCCATAACGCACGTGTTTCATATACTATTTTATGTCATCTCTAATTAATTTGTCGTTTGTCTACACAGCAGCAAATTTAGGAAGTGTTCCGGACCGGAAATTCATCGCAAGTCATCCTTTTCTCTTTTACGTTGAGGATGAAATAACCGGAACAATATTGTACATGGGCAGAATGGAAAACCCATTGCAAACTGTTGGAAATACGGAAACATCCACAATCTCCACGCTCATGCATCCAGATGAACAGTTCAGTACACACCAACTATCAGGTAACAATGAAAACCATTAAATATTGCGCCTCAATTTAACTATGAATTTATTATTATAATTGCTCAATTCACAATAAACATACGCAAGATTCTTCTAATTATCACACGGAGAGAAATATTTAGTAAAAATTACGGAACTTTCAGTTCACTTACCGATTACGGAGTTGATTCGAAAAATTTAAGTGACGGTATCGTTATTTTTCACCAATAATTCAGATAAAAATTACGGAATGACGCGGAAAAATTCCGTGACTTTAGATAAAAATTACGTGACAGTTCCGTAAAATTTCCGACAACCACATTTCGCTCCAGAATTACGGAAAATACACGTAATTTTTATTGAATATTTCTCTCAGTGCATCCAACCGTCCGATTTCTTTTCGGTAAATATCTATTTTAGCTCCAAATTTTCGCTTATTCAGGCCAATGAATGGAATCCTGTGATTGGCTGCCGCGGTACCGGAAGTGATTACGAGCGTGCGTAAAGAATGGTGTATAGTAGGGTATAACTCAAACAAGTATATTGTGCAACAAGGGCGGAAAGTCAGTGTTTTCCCGCCGAAGGTGTATATAATATTTTTCGGAATGCCTGCAGAGGAAACTTCGTGTTTTGGTGTCCTAAAAGCGGGAGGAAAGTGAATACTTTCCGCCCTAGGGTGGAACATATTCTCAGATACTTTTGAAATGAGAATAGAGGTCAGAGACAAAAAAAAAAAGGGGAAAAACTCTCGGCAATACACTTGATTGATTTTATCATCATTTTCCGAATGCCACAATTAAACCTAATCTGTTAACTTCAATCAGTAATTCACTCGATTCAACAGTTATTTGTATCATATATATAGGCAACAAAGGTATCAAAATTGTCATTTTAATATCGAGTAGCTAGGCAAAATGGTGCCATCCTATTACCTGGAATTTGATCGAAAAAATATTTCGTAATTAGTGGAACAAACGGCGAAAACTTCTTCGAAATTCTCCAAAAATAGCATGTCGGTTGATTTACCGTAAGAATTATGAAACGCAAATTATGACGCAACTTATATGTCGGGCTTTCTATTTTTTATGATCAACTCCATCCCGTTCTATTCAAGTATCTTTTCATATTCATTATATCTTTCATATGGATTCCCTGCATCTTTCATTCGGAAAATTACGTAGTAGACAAAAAGACACAAGTTACTGATGGGTAGTTTCATTCTTTATCACTGAAAAAAGTAATTCTCTTGGTAGAAACACGGGTAGCAATCCGGGAAGCAGTCAAATAGTATTGAAGGGCGCTAAAGAGGGATATGGTTTAAAAAGGATTCACCAAGTTTACAAAAAAATAATAAAAATTACGCAGCTTATCATTACTGTGGATGGGATTGAGTGAGAGCTAGATGGAGTGGTAAATATTTTTTATTATTTTTTAGTAAACTTGGTATCCCTATTGGGAAATTTGATATATAGTGAATCGGCAAAAATGAACTTTCCACTCAGGAAAAATCAAGCTTATCTTTTTTTACTGAGAGAGAGGTCCTCTACTCAGAACTCGCGAGCTTTCCCGGGAATTTTCACTATCGAAAAATTTCATACGCAATTAATCAGATTTTTGAAACTTGTATGAAATTTTGAAAGACCTTGAATCATTTTTTTGTCTATTTAATAATTGTTAGTCAATTATTTTTCATGAGTCAACGAATAATCATTTCCGGAAAATCGATATGTATTATAATTCAACTCATTGATTTGACTGAACTTCATGTTAAAAGATTTTTTAAAAATAGATGAAAGTTTTGCAGAAATGAAAGATTACTATCTGGGAATTCCCCATTTTTTCAAGATTTTCACGATTTCAAGGTTTTTTTTCAAAGGCAATAAAAATCTAAAAAAAGAATAATGTAATGACTTATACTAATGATAGAAAACAATCGTTAAATAAACATTAAAGTGGGGGAAACGAGTGAAGTAGATTGGTCAAGGACCATTGGAGGCAACTACAATCAGCCTCGAGTTGCCTCCACCGATGTATCAGTCTCATCAAGTTTTACTCCATCGAATATATCACGTCGGAGTGTCATTCCTAGTCTTTTTCTTATAACCAGACCCATAATCTCCGAAATTATACCTTCAAATTTGGCTTTGAATTAAATAAAATGTTGGGAACCATTTCAGTACTTCTCAGTGTAATCTGTGGAACGTTTGCAGGTAATTGATTTGTGTACTTGTTATTCGTGTACTCGACGCCGGGAATTTCCCAGCGTTCCATCGTTTCGAGACAAAAAAACCTGTTTGCAACTCGACATAATTCTCCGTCGTAGGAAAAAAAAACGAGTATTTTTGTTTTCTTTTCCGCCTGTTTTAAACAGTTCCATTTTTTTCAGCTTATCCAATCGGCAACGGCAATTCACAGAGATCTAATTATTTCAACGTCGAACTTCTACAGGTAAATATTATTTTTTTCAAATAAAAGTCACTGACTGGAACCCTCTTTCATGAGGCACTGAATAATGTACTTCCGGATAATTGCGATAGAGTAATTCGCTCGTATGAAATTGACGGTTGAGTAAAAAAAGTGTGCCAAATTTTGTTCCTACGTTTTTTTCGTAATAGTTTTCGTCCTTGAGAACAGATTACTAAAAACAAAATTGGGTTTGAGAATAATTAACTGCAGAATAGAATCGTAATAGAAAATTATATCTTTTAATAAAAAAAAATCTACAAACAGGATTTTCTGTTGGCATTCAAATATTTATGAATTATCCTCCAATCTTTTTATTTTTCCATCAAACCGAATAATGATGTAGTAATTACCTCCAAGCAATTATACCCCAGTATGTAAAATCACCATTTAGAATTTAATTGATTTTTATCTAGATTTTTGAATCCTGTCACTTTTGTTGGAGAATAGAAATTCGATGAGCATTCGAATTAAAATTATTCAAATCCGTATAATGATAGAAAAAATCATAAAAGTTTGTATCCAATCAGAGACGAATCGCAGATTTATAAGTAAAAATAGTTATACGCAAAAAAAATATACAAACCACTTGTTTGCATTGATTTCAGGCTGCATGTGAAGGCAATTCCGAAAACATAATAATTTCTCCATTTAGTGTAAAATCTGCGTTGACAATATTGTCTGAGGGAACAGGTGGAAACACACGAGAGGAACTTCTGGCAGCCCTAAGGCTTCCCTCGGATCCAACAGAGATCCATGCTCTATCAAAAGAGGCATTAGCGTTGCTCCAGGTAAATGCAATCCCAATAAATTACCCTGTGAAATATGGTGGGCCATGAAATTTTCATTTGGATGATTAAATTTTTCAAATTCCGCCACCGCAAAAATATCCCACATCTATAAATAATCTTATGCACGTATTTTCCGTTATTTGAATTGTTAAATTTGCGGTCGACAGGATAATAGAATTAGCTCTGAAATTACATTGGCAAATCGTCTGTGGGTTGGACGAGGGATTGAGCTATCTGGAGATTACAATAGATTGCTTCGCACACATTATGGTGGAGATGTACGAATGATTAATTTTAGTGATGTCGTCGGAGCTGCAGCAGTCATTAATGATTGGGTTCGTCAAGTAACCAGAAATAACATTCAGTCAATCGTAGATAACGGTAAGGTCGTAATATATATTACAAATTACGCTTTTTTTTAAGTCTCCACTCATTTATTAATCATGTCACTACGAGAAATTAATCGCTTTTTTAAAAATAATTACTAATGTTCTCATCTCAGATGTCAATTGAAGAAATAGGATATATTGCAACCTTTTCACGATTTTTCATTTTTCCTAGGGTTTCCATAAATTGTTAATTGGAAAACTCATGAATAAGTAAATCCTCTTGAATATCGTAGCACCGACTGGTAAATCACATATTCAAAAAAATCATCTCCAAGAATATTCAAGGAAAAATCTGGTCATTCAGCACTGACTTGCTCCTCTAGTCGCAAGGATTATCTTGTAATGATGATGACAAAAATAATTTCGCGCTAATCACTATTTCCGTGGAATCACCCATAAGCGTATCATTGAAGTTGATAAAACAAGCTATATTTTTTCGTACTAATTGAATTAATTAAGCAGTAATTAGGCAGTAATTAAGCATTAAGTAAATTAAGGAAGATATACCCTTAATCTGATTTATTATCAAATGATGTTGATAAATTTCAAAACAAAACATGGAATTGTCTTAAGTTGCGCGAAATCGATTATTATAACTTTTTTCAACTTTTATGTATAATTTTGTAGGAAACATTGGCCCGGGTACTCAATTACTTTTAACCTCTGCTATTTATTTCAATGGTCGTTGGTTAAAATCCTTCGATGCTACCTCAACAAGGACACGTTGTTTCCACACGTTCAAGACGGACTGTCAAGAAGTTTCTATGATGGAGAATGTTGCAACCTATAAATTTGCGAATATACCTAGTCTCGATGCTCAGGTCGTTGAGATTCCATATGCGGTGAGTTAGTTTTTGTGATAACACCACTATTGTGATAACACATGTGATAACACCACATTTTTGTTTGTGTAGATGTCCAGACTATTCAAATATATTTTCGATTCCTTTAGTTTTGTTATTAAATGATGAATCAATTAACTTTTGCAGAAACATAATTTGGTATATTTTCATAAATCTTGTCTTCCACTAGTTGATTAGATTTTTTTTCGAAGATAAAACATTTTTTGTTCAAAATAGTTGTACTTTTTTCTTCATTTCATGAATTAAAATTTTCTCACATTCATCTCTTCATATTTTGTAATTATTTGGTAATATCTTCAAGAGGAAATGAAAAGCAATTGAATTTCAGGATGGCAGATTGTCTATGATAGCAATTTTGCCAAACAAAAAGGGCCTTCGAGGTCTCCAGACATTGTGGAAAGATCTTGCCTATACCTCAGTGGCAAACATCCTTTCAAATCTCCAAGAAACCGAAATTATTCTTCAAATACCGAAATTCAGTATTGAAAGCAAAATTGAACTACGACCAGCCTTGGAATCCGTAAGTATTTAAGAGTTTGATTGGTACCATTTACTTGGATTTTTTTTCTGAATCAAGACGAATTTAATGCATCATGAGAAAATCTCTTTCAAAATAAAAATAACGAATCGTTTTTTTTGACAGTTGGGAATCAGAGACCTTTTTGGATATCCCGCAAATATAACTGGAATCTTGACCGGTAGCTCATCTCAAGTTGAAAGCGTCCTTCATAATGCTAGGATGGATATAGACGAAATGGGAACAGTTGCTGCTGCGGCTACAGGTAAAAATATTCCTGTTCATCAAGAAAAATACTAGCGTTTAACAAAAGATCTGAAAAATACATTGTCTTTCGAAGACCTTCCAAAATTATATTCTAGGGAACTCTCAATCGTCTCTGGAAAACCGCGCCTTCTGAAGATTCCTCCAAAGATTTCTAAAAATATATTATAAATATATTTCAAACTCATTTTTTTTATGCAAGCTGCTACATTAAGACAAATTATTTCTGCTATACATAAACGTATTATAAACAAGTACTTACCTAAAATTTCAGCGTGAGATACCCATTTCATATTTTTCACTGGAATAAATCATAATTTTTCTTAATGTTATTCATTTCTCAATAAGAAAATGCTTTAAAAATGCAAATGGAAAACCTAATATTTAAAAAACTATTTCCGCAGTAATTTCGGTGGTGCCTTTGATGGGGTCAACCATGGAGGTTTTCCGAGCAGATCGTCCCTTCGTCGTCATGATTGTGGATCGACCAACAGCGAGTATCATTTTCGCTGGTCAAATTACCTATCCCACCCCAGCGTAATCTCCACAATTGATTAGTACGATCATCACCTAGGAAATGAAACTCCAGTAAAACCTACCACTAATTCACTCAAAGGAGGAATATAAGAAAGTGGAAATCAAGAATGAAGAACAAAATAAGAACTGAAGTTACTCGAATACGTTTTTATACTCAAATAAAATAAGTTATATACCAGTTCTAACGAATTTTTCATCGAATGGGACATGTAAAATGTTGCATTTTTGATAATTTTGTTGCTCGGTTTTCCACCGAATTAATTGTTCCACACTCACATACGCGTACACTCATGACCCGCTCACTTCAGATGTCCAGTGTCCTCTCACCTCTGACACCTGAGACGCCCCTTGATGGACAGGTGTAATCAGAGATTAGAGGGAAGACTAGCGCCTGCGACGTTGACATCTTTTCATTTCGTTTCTTCCATTTCATTTTCTCCATTTCCTTCCTCTTTTCTCTAAAATTAATTATCCATCAGCGTTCTCACGCTGATGAATGTTAATATTAATAAAAATAATGCATGTCATTTGATTACTGGTTTAATTAAAAAATTTATCAAAAAAGGATTTCCTATTTTTGAATATCTGTGCACAGTGGTTAAAATTGATTTGATAACGCCGAATGTTCAAACACATTGAAAAGATCTAAAAAAAGATTATAATATTTCAAGTTTTGTTAATTACTCTTATCTCTTTTTACAAGATGAATATTTGAAAATGGAAAAAGCAGAAGTAGAATTTCTATAAATTCGATGCTTTTCGAATTTTCCATTTCTATTGGTTTAACTCGCAAAAGAGCGGGAACCCAGCTGTCGCAAGGAGGATTGACCAAAGTAAAGGCTCAGTTCTGGGGGTTTGAGTGACCCCAAGAGCATCGTAGTAGCCGACCCCATAAGAGGGAAAGCGCCACACGCAACGCTGGGGTATCTGTCGTTAGCCGAATCAGCGACTTTTCAGTAATATTCCTCCAGCTTCCCTTTTAAGGCCCGGGTGGAGGGATTTTTGCCCGACATGTCCCTAGGGAATTCCCTAGAAAAAACGCGTTTTACGGGCAACTAAATGCCAGCCCCTGTAGGCCCTCAAAAAATATAATGATAGGGTCAATCGACAGATCATTATTTTTGCCGGGCCGGTAATTAGGTCTCAGGGGTGGGAAATTGAGGAATGAACGTGTAAATTACGTTCAAAGAGACCCCCTAGATTTCACCAAGATGAATTCTCCAATGATCGTTTGGGGAAAAATATGGCGGCTCAATCACTATTTTTGCGCTAGGACGCATAGAACGCGAGAAAATCGAGTTTTTCTAAAAAAAAAAAATTCGCGAAAATCGACTTTTCGATACATGAAATCGATGCG